AATGCACACAAGAGTGCATAGTGTGTAGTAGTGCTATGCGTTACTATGTACAGAATAGTCGCTAGTCACGATGGAAACTCGATATTCTAGAAGACATGAGCCGCAACAGCAGATTGAGGAATAAGGTCCCTTCAAACTTCCAATTCACGTAAAAATTTCATCGTCAACTAAATGTCACTTTTTCCTGGAGACTCTATATGCATAATTACAATATCTGACGGATTTCTATGTTGATTGCTTTTAATTAAATCAAGCAGTTAATTTCTGTGTTTAGATTCTAGGCATGTATATAGTTTTAAGCAGGAAATAATCGTAGGCTTATATGCCAACAAGTTGAATGGAATAACCTCGTTTAGGCTGGAGCCATGTCAACTCCTCCAACAATTGGGCAATCACTGTTATTAAATACCTTCAGCTCCAATAGTACGGTGCAATAGTGTTCAGCAACACCAAATATTGACTGTAATGTAGTAAACATCAGTTTTCCAGCGCAGTACATGCGTACAGTTCAAATTACTCTACCATAAATAGTTAGTACAGTAATTATAATATACATCCACACCGATTCCACTAATCATATCAATAGCAATCAACCAACCATGCAGTCTATATATAAGTACCGAGCTAAATAGAACTACGACACAAAGCTGCATCAGCAACACATTATTCTTTAATAGAGCTGTCTTAGTAGCACCTACCTAGCATAATAGTAGAGAATATATCATTCAAGACGTGGTAATTGCCAATTACACTTAACAATTAAACTTCGTACATGGTTGGCATTAATCATGTCTTGTGCATTAACGCACGTGCTTCGCAGCGTAGATCTCTCCCAACACCGCAGAGCTACTAAACAAAATAAAGCTTTAAATTTCTACACACTCAAAGTTTCCTGTAGTTGCTAACGAATATTAAACACAAATGTTCATCAAAAAACTTACAGTTAGGTGGGGTTCTGTGAACAAGTCTTGTATAGCTCACGATTTGTTCTGTACATGAACTACAACGCGGTACACGGAAAAAAATACTCCGGGTTCTCATTGAGCACTGGAGTAATGCACACCCGAGTTGTCGTTAGTATATTACTTCGAGTTCTCATAGAGCACATAGAGAAAATTGCGTGCACGATGAATCTCTAACTAATAAACAATGTATATATGGAACACGTGACACATGACTTAGCACTAACAAACTATAAAGCTATTGTCTAAATATTCTATAGGCTAAATTAGAGAAGCCTTTTCGATGGCCCCTCAAGTGACGACCGCGCTCTTAATAATTGATCATTTTATTCATGATTCTTGCAATGACTTGCAGTACACAAAGAAGAATGCGAACCACAACAAAGAAATACTACCAAAGAAATAAAGAAACCAAATCTTTCGCCTACATCAGTTTATCTTAAAAAGGAATAAGCTAATGAGTTAACCACTAGTTTTTGCTGGCATGCGCTAAAAAATAAAGTACTTTAATTGTGTAATGTATTACGAGCTAAGTATCTTGTAAGAGCAAGATTGAAACAAATTATAAGGCAGCAAAGTTTCTCCTCGAAATGGTAGTATCAATAAGGCAAATGCACAAGAGGAAGCTGATTACAAAGTGAAGACACAGAAATGGTTTAAAAGTACAATAAACGATTCTTAAGATCACTTAAAAGTAAATAATTGGATGGTAACGCTGAAAGAAACACTGAGTTCACACACCAAAATTATTAAGCTCACTACGCCAAGATATCATAGACGCACGTAGCTTAGCACACAGTTTCAATGTTTCCTTTTATTTTCAGTGGGAAGCAAATGGCATGGGTAAAACATCGCCGAGAATGTTGGCACAATTGGTTTTAGCATTTTTTTCCTTGGGATATTTCATCAGATTTCTTATAAACAATCTCGGCAAAGATGCGTGGTACCTCGCGCGTGTGAACTCTATCTACCAACCAGAATTGGATCAGAAACTATGTCATCTTGGCGCAGTATTACAGTGCCTATAGGAACTAACATTACGGACGAGTATAGTCAACATAAAGAAGCTCAACATAGCACGCACTACATACATTAAATGGAGCTGCACTTGTTTGATATGATCGGTGAGGTTGGACTATACGGTATAAGTTAAAGGCCAACGTGCAAGTTGCTGCACTAACGTAAGCTAACGACGGCTGAACGTGGTCAACTCTCGAGGCATTAATCTCACAGTAAATAAAGTTTTGGTTGCTTTGAAAAACGACAAATCTTCATATTTTGCGGCCCACTTTCCTTGATTCTGCATCAACAGATCTTCATTAAAGCTTGGAACCCCCAATAACTGCTAGACGGCAGCTAGATTTCAGCAGTAGAAAAATTATTATATGTCATACACGAGAGAAATTTTGAAACCTTAATGCAACCTTCGAATTGCCCCAGCACGATGCGCCATTACAATAATTAATTATAAGAAACTAAATGACTAAGTTTCCTTGCTGAAGTAATTGTTTAAATGGAATCCGTAAATTCACTTGTCGGACCCCAGTTGGAATTGCCGAACAATTGCCAGCAGAAAAGTTTTAACTGCAGCTCAGCTGCTCGCGGCCTGGGAGGAATTCCTAATCCACGCAAAAAAGTTATGTAATGAAATAAATTTCAGAAGAAGAGAGCACTCTTAGAATATTCAAGACTCCCAAGAGCCTAATAACACACCGAGACTTAAGTTTATTATTTGGATCATATCTTCAACTAGAGCTAATTGCTAAGTATATATGTAATAAGGTATCGTATTTAACATGGAGTTCAACTACATTAATTTCAAACACAATATGCGCAGTATACAGCGACTATCTTAACGGAGTGTATTATGGTCCTTGCTATCATTAGATGTTCAATTCCAGCTTTCCAGATTGAAATTTGAAAAATGGGATGCAAACTTCAAACTGCATCGAAAAGCGCATGGAAAGCTATAGATGTCAACGAAAAATAAATTCAGAGACAGATACGCAAGGCGAACCTTCCACATATACATACTGCTCTTTGAAACTGATGAAATGCTGATGATATCAACAGTCGAAATCCCTTTGAATCACTGGAATGTCGTCGAGTGCCGTGAAGCCATTAACCGGCAAAACCTGCGCATTTGACTCAGCCCACGGAAAATTTACCACGACCAAGCGAGAAACCCACTACCATGAGCGTAGGTCCCAACCATAAAAAAAAGGACACAACCCGAAAGGAAGCCCAAAACCCAGAAACAAGGCCACAAGCAGGAGAGAGGGCCACAACCAAGAGATTAAGCCATAAGCCAATGAGAAAACCAATGAAGATGGTCTGAAAGCGAAGGTTATGGCCAAAGAAGATAGGGTTCAAGCCCAATCTTCCAATAAGGTTTGGCTTTAACCTATTCATTGGCTTACCTAAAGTACGTAGAGAACACAACCTGAATGGAGAGACAATCGTCAAAGAAACTGCAATGACCAGAGAGAAAATCCAGAGCGGGCAATGAAGACATCTCGACGTTAATGCCATAATGTGAAACTCGGGAGTCACGAACACGTGAAAAGACCACAGCCAAAGGGGCAGGCGATGATCGTGATAAAAAAAACACGGCTCGTGAATTTTTACGATTAAACATTCCAGGAAACTGGCAAATGTTTACGCTTCTTCGTCGGAGTCACCCAAGTTCAGTGTCTGGAGCCTCTTGAGGGCATCCATGGGAGACATGGGTGTCTGAGGCGGGCTTTGATAAACCTCATTGACTCCACAATCAAGTGTTCCAGGCCGACAAGTCACATTCACTTGCGGACAATCGAGATTTCCAGTGTCAGAATCCTGGTTTGTAGGTTGACAATTCAGTAAATCGTTAAATCCGGTCTGTGTAGCCCATTTTTGTCTCTGATGCCGGAACACCAAACTGCCTGACCGTGCCCCACGTTCTTGCTCCTCATCCTCATCGTCTTCGTCCGACGGGTCTTCCACATTTCCTTTGGTACCCAGCGCTGGTGTGGTAGGAGACCTGACCATCCCAAGGGAGTGTACCGGACTAACGTCACACGTTGGTGACACCAAGGCTTGAACTTGGCGACTGGAGAACGGACAGTCCGACAGCAGGTTAGGGGAGGCAGGGCTACCGGGCGTGTGTGGGTCAATGTCTGAGTTGTTGTAGCGGTGGATGCTGTTGCTGAGCTGATGGCCGGCGTTAAGGGGAGTGATGTGGCGGTGAGCGACGGCCTCGCGCTCTGCAGGCTGAAGAAAATCCTGCGAAAATACTTTATTTATTTGACTTTAAAGTGATGCAGCACATGAAGCATAGTCACTCTGATTCTAGCCTCTAAATGATGCAATAAAGCCAGTAGTCTGGATATTTTTCAAATTAATCTCAACCATATATATATCATGAACCTTAACCTCCATGAATTTCGCCCCCGATCCGGGCATGATAATGCCCCGATCCATACAGCTGGAATTGTTAAAAAATGGCACGAGAAAAATTCTAATGATGTTGAGCATCTCATTAGGCCACCACATTCACCAGACCTGAATATTATCTAGCATTTATGGTCGATTTTAGAGATGCAAGGCAGAAGTCGATTCCCTCCGCCATCTTCTTTAAAAGAGCTGGAGGAAGTTCTAACTGAAGGATGGGTTAAAATTCCTTCGGAAACAATGCACAGTTTCTACGAATCAATATCTCGGAGAATTGAGGTTGTAATTGCCGCAAAAGGAGGACCTACACCAAACTAAAATATATTGTACTTCTAAGGTATTTCCTTATTTGCCTAACCCCTGTATATTATATTACACAGTAACACCGGAATAATCCCTCTGTTTACTTCCTACGAACGCCCTTTTTCGCTCTGATCACGTTTCATTAGCGCCACCTCGCACGACTGCTCTGAGCCTTTCGCTGCACCCGCAGAGTGAGCGCGTGATCTCACCCGCAGAGTGAGCGCGTGGTCTCACCCGCAGAGTGAGCGCGTGGTCTCACCCGCAGAGTGTGCGCGTGGTCTCACCCGCAGAGTGTGCGCGTGGTCTCACCCGCAGAGTGTCCCCAGCGCCCCCACTGCCGCCCCCAAGCGTGGGGTGAGCATCCAAGCACTTCTGGTACCGCAACTGGGATTTTAATTATAATTTACAATTAGAAATTGAAGTTCAGATTAAAATTCGAGAGGAATAATCTGAAGATTCATTATGATATATGAAAACTTTTGCACATAATATCAGTTGCGGTGATAATTTTTAAATGTTCAGTAGTGGTAACGGAATTATTTCTAAATGTTAAACTGCGATAATTGAGTTATTTGTAAGCATTCGAGTGTGACACTAAAAGTATTAACTATAATTCGGAGATGACAAGTATTATAATAAATGCCTTTACTGTCATTTAACATAAAATCATACTGAAAAACCTGAAACAATTTCAATTACTTCCTCCCAGGCAAATTAAATTGAAATTACTTTGATAATGACATAATTTTGTTAAGAGAACGTTTAATAAACGTCATTGACACGTCAGATGAACGTTCAATAAACGTCATTGACAGGTCAGATGAACGTTCAATAGAAGTCATTGACACGTCAGATGAACGTTTAATAAACGTCATTGACACGTCAGATGAACGTTTAATAAACGACATTGACACGTCAGATGAACGTTTAATAAACGTCATTGACACGTCAGATGGCTGGAGTGAATTAATTATGTAATTATGAAACCTTGCAGGCGGCCTCGATGGTCTTGCAGAGCGCTCCTGACGAAGGCTCGCAGAAGAAGACGTGCGCCACGAACTGGTCCTGCGCGTTGTGCACGATGAACGCGCAGTGGTGCACGTTGCGCCCGATGCCCAGGAACGACAGGAACCGAACGCGGCACTCCGAGATCACCGAGTTGTCCTTCTGCTCGACACGCGTTGTATTGTACTAGAGAATTGCTTTTCTACTCAGTAAGTATTATATTGTAACGATGTTTTGTTTTGCACTGTGATTATTGCTGTGTGGTCACACCTGCTCGACATGTCAGTCTGCTAAGACTAATCAAGACTCTCTACCGCCTGCACAGGCACTAATCTCCCCCTAAGTCCAGGCAAGACTCCTCCTAAGCCAAGGCAAGACTCCTCCTAAGCCAAGGCAAGACTCCCCCTAAGCCCAGGCAAGACTCCTCCTAAGCCAAGGCAAGACTCTTCCTAAGCCAAGGCAAGACTCCTCCTAAGCCCAGCCAAGACTCCTCCTAAGCCCTGCCAAGACTCCTCCTAAGCCCAGCCAAGACTCCTCCTAAGCCCAGCCAAGACTCTCCCTACGCCCGTCCAGCTCCCATGGTCAACACGCACGACGTGGGTGACGGTGATGGTGGAGGGGGCGACGGCGACGTTGACGGGGGTCCAGGGGCCAGGGTTGGCGTTGACGGCGTCTTGGATGGCGCGGTTGATGACCTCCATGCCGCTGGGGCGCGACACTTGCAACGCCCCCACGTACTCCGCCTTCACCAGCTTACGAGGCTCCTCCATGGGCGTCGGGAACGACTGGCCTACAGACGTAAACAGCGTATCAATTTATCCTCTATCTTTTGATAGAAACCATAGGTCTATAGGGATGCATGGCAATCAGTATATTTAGGTCTTAAAGGATAAATGGCAATCAGTATCTTTAGGTCTTAAAGGATAAATGGCAATCAGTATCTTTAGGTTTTTAAGGATAAGTGGCAATCAGTATCTTTAGGTCTTTAAGGATAAATGGCAATCAGTATATTAAGGTTTTTAAGGATAAATGGCAATCAGTATCTTTAGGTCTTTAAGGATAAATGGCAATCAGTATCTTTAGGTCTTTAAGGATAAATGGCAATCAGTATATTTAGGTCTTTAAGGATGAATGGCAATCATTATCTTTAGGTCTTTACGGATGGCATTCAGTAACTCTCGGCCTTCAGGGTCGGAAAGAGAGCGCATTCATATAGACGCGTGCCTCTTAATTTAACAGCGATAACGGCTGAATCACAAGACCGTTGATGGTTTTGAAACAGGAAAGTCATTTATATTAGTAAAAATGGCCATGATCACAAGACCGTTGATGGTTTTGAAACAGGAAAGTCATTTATATTAGTAAAAATGGCCATGCATGACGTAATAAACATCAATATAAGCAATCTTAGGCACCCTAATGACGTACCGCTGAGGAGAGAGTTGTGCCGCTGCACACGGCGCCCCTCCGTCGGCAGATTGCAAGGGCGCGCCGCCCGACCGAAGGCGCTGTTGTTGTTGTTGTTATTATTGTTGTTGGCACCCGCCAGGCTGTTGCTGCTGCCCATGTGGGAGCCTGGCGAGGAAGAACATTTAATTAATTAAGAACATCTCCAATATTTTAGAAGCAAAAAAAAACGGTAGTCAAATTCACCATATCTTCATCGGGAAAATTTTTACGAAGATATTCTTAATTTACTCGGGGTTTTCTTTGTTTTTTTTTTATTCAGGGTTCACCCACAATTTATGCCAAAATCTACAAAGATTATATGGGTCGAATATTTCTGTCGTCTAAATATATTGCTTGAGGTTTATGGGAGATGTGCGTGAACTAACACGATTAATAGATGATTAAGTTGACTTAAGAAATTCTGCACTTCAAGTATATGTACTGTATATAAAACGCTCGTTGTATGTTTTTCGTAAATAAACGTCTATAAATATGACTTTAAATAATCACTAAATCACAATATCAACTGCAGCAACACATCAATCTGCTTTCGTACAATTAAGGGAATTAAATTCAATAAAAGGCTATTAAAATTAATTGAAGGGGGGATTAGAGGCAATACACTGCAAATACGTCAAAATACAATTTAATTTAACTCAAGGCAAGGATCCACCCTGCCATTCTCACCGAGATCGCCCTTACTAGCGGCCTGGTTCAGCGAGCGCTCGATCATGATCTTCTTGCAGATGTCCCTGAGCGTGTTGGCGATGGTGCGCGCTGGCGTGTCGCAGCGGAACACGTGGCACATATGCTTGCGTGACACGCGGTCACGTGCCACGTACGCGAAGTCTCTGTGCATACAATATGCCACGTGTGAATAGTGGCGGGAATAATCGTTTAATATATAGCGAGTGAGTTGAGTTATGAATGCTGAATGAGCAGTTATCAGATTTATCATTTGAAATCTTTAAAAAAAGAGAAAAAGTGTTTTTATAACAAAGTTTTATTTCAACATACATTATACTGCGAGTAAATATTAAAACAATTGTCATGCAGGCACGAATAACGCTATAAGCAGTCAAATCAATGTACGGATACATATTTTTAGGTCTAATTGTATTAAGAAATATTGATGATGTGCAAGTCATTGCACCCGCGTTCACTGGTTTCTTGCAAATTTAGCTTGAATAACTTATTTTTCTAAATATGTAACATTAATTAGCAAAATGCCAGCTTCTTTATGAAAAAACGCATTTAAATGATTTTAAGTATGCAGGACGAGCCCAAGCAAGTACGATGATGGTAGCATAGCAAACCAAGCAAGCGGAAGCGCAGTGTTGCTTAAAAAAAATTCACTGGAATTTTGGCCAGTCAATTTGCTACAACAACCAGCTAGGCAAACTTCACGAAAACCACGACAAATGCGTGCAATAAATTAAATGTGTTGAAGGCTTATGTGCATAAATGTTACAATCAATGGCATAAACAAAGTTGAAAGTCGTAAGAATTTTAGAAAACATACATAAAAATGAAAGGAGAGAAGAAGGGTCATTCACAGCAACGAAAAAGGCAATAACAAAACAAAAGTGTGAAGCAAATCATCAAAAGAACCTTAAAAAGATAACTAAGAACATGCGAAATACGTGCATAAGCCAAAGAGTTACTCGCTAAAAACGCACGTTTTCGCATATAGAGAAAAATGTTTATGTAGAAATTTCAGAAATTATAATTTAAAATTAGAAAATGGATCATTGTGGAATTGAAAAAGTTTACAACATAATCGGGGACATTAAAAATTGCCGTGATCAAAACGAGTAATGTTTGAAAGGAGGAGAAATTTTGTAATTTAAGAGTCTAGTGCAGAGGTGCAGATAACGTGTGGTAAGCAAACTCATATCTGCAGTGCAACACTGCGGGAATGTTAAGTAAAATTATAAACAACACAGAAATGAAAAGAAGATACTGGAAGTTTGGCTCCATAGCATCGGCGAGATTACCTCTCCCTGCAGCACCAGGTTACCAGAAGACGGCAGGAAAAAGAAACCAAGATAAAAAAGTGTTAATTTGGTGCGATAAACCATGACCCCATTTAGTAAATGTACACGAACAAAGTCGAAGATAATCAAACCTAAGGAAACACTAAATAGGTTTTAATCATGTTCTTTTTAAATATATTGTATTATACTTCAATTTGACAGGTACAGGACCAGTAACTCTGCTACTCTGCGGCTATCACTTGCACTTATCAATACAATGCCGGTAAATTTAGATCTATAATTAATTTCCCACTTGTAACCATTTTCCTGGTTTGATATTCAAGGCGTGCTCAATGTTTAGTATCGGCTATACAATATTACTCACTATAGCAATAATATTCACTATAAAAATAATGTTCACCTCAACAATAATGATTGCTATAATAATAATATTCACTACAACAATAATGATCGCTGAACTATAATATTCACTATCATAATAATATTCACTACAACAATAATGTTCACCATAACAGTAATGTTTACTATAGCAATAACATAGATCATGCTTGATAACTATGAGACCAAGACATGACAGCGCAGGATCAGACCTGCCGTTATCGCGCCCCACGCCCCACACGCGGATGGTGTGGATGGGCTGCGTGTTGAGCAGCGTCAGGTTCTCAGGGTCTACGAGCTTCAGGGAGCCCTCGTCCAGGTCCATGAACAGGTCCTTGCCCTGAACATGTCATTATAAACACTCAACGTTTTGACTTATTTCAATTATACGTAGCAATTTAAATCACGCAGATTACCTCGTTTTACTAACTATAATATCGTACAGAAGTAATCAAATTACCGTTGTTCAAACGACGTCCGCCATTAAATACAAACTAAATATTTAAATCTAGGCACATGTAATCAGCCGCTCTCAGCTAACAGTAAAAATAATCGGTCTATTGTAATATGTCAATAAAAAAACTGAGTCGGCAAATGCGAAAACAAAAATATTGATTGGCCTACATCACTTCCTCTAACGACTCCAGTAAATTCGTGAAGCTTTAGTGGGTTTGTCAGCTACCGTATCATTTCATTTCCTTCTTACTATTTCCTTGGTGGTTCAAGTAACCTTCATTTCCGAAGAAAACAAACCTAACAAGAAGGCGATAAATTATACAGACAAGAATACTTACCTCGCCCCAACAGCCGACGACGTCCATGACGTCCCGGCGCCCCATGCTGAGGTCGACGATGCATCTGTTGACTGCCTTGCTGCTGCGCTCAGGCGTGAGCTCCTCTTCAGGCACCTCCAGCCACCCCAGCGAGCGCACGGCAAAACGCACGGCGCGGCCGCAGCCTGCCTCAGACAGCTCGCTGCGCACAGGATAGCTGCGGCGTCTGCGCGAGTCAGGGCCATGGAATAATTCTCTGTGCGACTTATCAATAGCCAGAGACAATGCAAATATCGTCCGCGAGAGTTATATATAATCAGGAGCAATAGAAGTAGAGGCATCAGTCATATATATATACATTCCCAGGCTATGGAAAAAAGGCACTAAAAAATATTTATTAGTCCTCCTGTCCCAACGGTAACACACTTTCGGCAAACAGCACTGATACGCCTTTTTGTCGGGCCAAACAGGGTCAAAAAGACCCACTCAGGGCCAAAAGGTGCGTCGCTATTTGAACATAGTTTTAATAATTTCTCTGAGTGTTGACAAATTAGCATGTGCGCATCAATGCCCTCCTATCCTGCACGCGTTAGGCTCACTTGTAGGCGTTCTCAGCGGTGTTGGTGGAGCGCGGCCTGAGCTCCGCCAGCTCAGCGAGCGCCGAGCTGGTCGTGCTGCGCGGCACCCCAACCTGAAAGGCAGCAGTACTTTACACCAAAACATCTCATATATTCTTAGTAGAATATATTAAAATGGGACTGCCTCTTAACAATTAGGTTGTGTACACAGGAATATTACGGTAATGCTACCAAGTACGTTGTACGAATCGTAACCCGATCCGGCAATCGAAATTGAAATCATTCAGTTTAGTATACCATGATATTATCAAGATGATAGAGACAATATATTACCAGTTTAACAAATCACAAAGGTTTATAATTATTATTCGATTATTTCGTCATGAATATTGTGGGTATTATAAATCCTTAGCGCTTAGCCGCTTACTGGTTGGATTTGCATCATTCGAATTTTAGATCAGTCTGCAATAGAAATTTTTCTATGAAGAAGTTGATTTTTTCCAGAAGAAAACTACTCAATTGGATGGGAGACATTCCAAATATTGAAAACTCAACGGAAATAAATCCTCAAAGAAATTAGCAGATATTCTCATAAATACACTTTGCCCCAAAACTTGAAACTCGATTGTTTTACGTGATATTGTTTGCGGTTCACTATACTGCATGAGTAAAGAAATAAAATATGAATAACTTAATTATCTACCGGTCATTTAGCTACAATTTTGTTCACGCTTTCAACTGTAGACGGCAAAGCAGGAATGTAAGGTGATGATGGCAGCTGCAGACAAATCATCGTGAACATTCGCATGGATAGTGTCCTACTCGACATACATAGATATACCCATACATAAAGTTTATGAAACTCATGAATGGTATTATTCTGTGATGATGTTACGATCACGTAAGTAGTTTTTTTTACAATTTGACGGCTGCGCGCGCATTTGCTAAACCCGAAAGATCTAGGACATTTCAAGCGGAAATTTAATACGAGTTTTCTTCGATGCGTGATTGCGTGTTACTTGTGATTATGTTACGCCATGGTTTTATGAAAGACATCAACAGAAACAGTGCAAATGCGCAGTATAGCTCTCTACATAACTCAGGATGAATTCAACTACGTTTTCCTAAACTTGGATAAACTGAATGTTTTGTTTCATTTGTGAAGGAATTGACCGGCAAGTCAGGGGCGCTAATACCAGCTCACCTGCTCCTCCTTGATGCGGCGAGGGGCTGCGGAGGGGGGCGGTGGGTGAGAGGGGCGAGGGGCAGCAGTGGGAGGGGTGCGGGTGATGGTCCCGCTCTTGATGTGCCAGTAGTACGCACCATCATTATCTGCACGAGTAAAAGTGAGTCTAATTGAGAGCACTATATATAACTAACTAACTATTTTAGCCTGCTGATTACTCTAGTTTATAAATCAGCTTGTTGCTGATTACTCTTATCTACACCAGCAAAAGTGAGTCCAATTCAGAGCACTAAATATAACTGTTTTAGCCTGCTGATTACTCTCATTTTAAAGCCAATTATAAACATTTATTTCAACTCCATGGAAAATCAGCTCATTGTCAAGTTTAATTCCAACCTGCTCAGTCTCTGACTTCACAGTACAACAAAATAAAATTTATTATTCATGTTTATCCTAATAATAATCATTATACAAAAAGCATGATGATAACGAGACCTGAATAACTCACCTTCGTGTTTCTCCCATCCCGGCGGCAGCGCCTGCTGCTGCTCGGGGGAGTCGCTGCTGCTGGGGGAGACGCTGCTGGTCTCGGGGGCACCGTCCCCCGCGCGGGGACTCTTCATGGGCAGGGCGTATAGCTCCTGCAGGGGGACATGATTTATTAATTATAATCATGCTTGGTTGTAATAATTATTAATCATAATAAGAAAACGCTGCATCGAACGGACGCAGAATGGGCAATTCTTAGTTGATTGCCTCGCATTTGACTGTTGAGTGTAAAATATATAAAGCTAAGGCAATAAACTGAGAAAATGTTAAGTAACGTAAATCAAAATATGTAAGCTAATATAAGCAGTTTCCTTGTGATCGAGGAATGGAACTTGATGAATTATTCAAGCAAAAAATTGCAAAAAACATGCGGATGTGCAGTGAATGTTGGATACACGAGTAAGCCGTGGTAACATTTTCATTGTCATGAACAAAGTTTGAACCACTTTCTGTATCCCCGCTGGAGGTGTGAACCGACCTGTCCTTCCCCCGCGGTCATGTGGGGGATACCGTCCCCCTCCTGGTCAGCTTTATTGTCCCCCGCCACCCCCTCTAGCAGGCCAGGGCTCCTGGTACAAGTAAAGTACAAGTTAAAATCACACGGAACAAATAATCTTGTACAAAATACAAGGTAAAAAAGAAACTTTATAAACCGTTATGGTGCTTGCGGCTTGATACCAATTTATTACTCATATTGATAGTTCATCTAGTTTCTGGCAGCAAATAAATAGTAATAGGTATAGTACGAGATAGTATAGTAGCATTATAGTTTTGTAATATAGTTAGGTACCGACACGTGCATTTATTGTATCTCAGAATATCTTGACAACTTGTTCAAAATTCCATACTGAAGAATGGATAACTTAATTAAATTAAAATATAAGTTATCCACTTAGTTTAGAATTTAATTAAACTAGTCCTGAAATCGAAGTATATCAGTTACCTTTTGAAAGGAAAATAAGTGTAAAATAAATGCACATAATTCATTAATTGGTGTAGGTCACACTGAATTGATTAGTAAATATGAAATTTCATATAATAATCGCATTATGATTGCAATACATTGATTTGCATTCGCCCATTTCGCGAATACTGTAGCAGAAAAAAATAAAAACAGACTCACGTTGAAAAACAAACCTGGAAAAATAAACCTTTCAAAAATAAATAAACCATTGAACAACATAGACTAATATTTTAACATCAATTCATCACAGATGTAATCATTCTTCGTTTGAATGAATACACACAATATAAAACAATTAAAAATTCAGAGAGCAAATAATTAAAAAAAAATATGAAACAAAACACAAGTGAAATTAGAGCGCTAGAAAATACAAGAAGCCACAGAACAGAAGAAAAATAAAAATACAGAGCCATAGAACTATCGCCGTGCGGCATTGATGCAAGTAATTGCAAATATGCAATTACATGGCAAACAAATAATTGCAAATATGCAATTAAATGGTAAGCAAATAATTGCAAATATGCAATTAAATGGTAAGCAAATAATTGCAAATATGCAATTAAATGGTAAGAAAATAATTGCAAATATGCAATTAAATGGTAAGCAAATAATTGCCGCCGTCAATTATTTATAATAATTCAAATAATTGCCCATATAAATATTAACAAAACAATTATTTCATCATGGCTGTCAGTGCAAGTAGATAATTTCTTCCAACTCCGATTTGATAACATTACAAAGCAAGCATTTAAATAAATAAAACAGAATCGAACAAGCATAAAACAAACGGTCAAATTTAATTCCAATGCGAACAAAAAGAAAATATTTCACTCTAAGCTATAAGTTCAGTTACATGAAAACTAAATACAAGTGCGATACATACAGAAATTATTATAATATTTACTAATATGAAACAATACAAAAATTTGTTCTATCATTCATTGTTTCACAACCAAATGACTTCCCAAGCAAAAATTTTAACGAATTCGGGGTCCAGGAAAGTAAAATGGGATCAAATCGTGCGGTACAGAAACATAGAGTCTCACTTGTCATCGCTAGAGATCTTGTCTCGAGCAACATCTTTCTGGCAGTCCTCTTCTTTGTGTTCGTTGTTGTCTTCCTCCTGCTTGTATTTCACTACATCCACAAACTGATCCTTCAGGGGCAAGTCAGGATACTCGAGCCGATCCTGAACTTGAGGGAAAGACAGATGTTGTTTTTGACGCCTGGCGACGTCTTCGATTAGGTCAGGCTTGTTGTTGTCTTTGTTATTATTGTCGTATCGCCCCATCTCGATGGGGTTATCGTCATCGTCTTGCGATGGATCAGTGAACGATAATGGCGGCGTCGTTGTATCGCTCGCCGACGGATAACAAGTCTCTTTCTGCAGTTGTCGCTGGGGAGGAGCTTGGTTGGCCTCGTTCAGAAGTGATTCCTCATGGCTGCATGCGGCGAGCGAGAAGGAAGACATGGCTATCAACATAATTTCTTTTGAGCTGTCTAATCACATTAGAATCTGGCTGGAAATTATAATACACCAATCTATCATATCAATCATAATATCAATCCCATATTTAGTATAGTAATAAAATTGGAAACGGCAGTAGTCATTTTGGAACATATTTTAACAGGCAAATGACTACTGAAATTTTAAAACTGTCTAGTGTTCACCAACATACTATATTGGCACGTGTTAAAACTTATACAAGTTTACGAGCAACTTAAGTAGTAAGATCCGAATTATAAATTCTGAATCATATTAGTTAACTTTACTCCAAAGATCTTACCTACATCAGGTAGAAACAAGCAAGATATAAATCTCCATAGCATTGAAAAGGTTTCACTTCCATATTTATTCGAGGACGCTTCAAATAACGAGGCGACATTGACACGTTGCAACCAACGCTTTCGCTATCGCTAATGCGTAGCTTTCATTGATAAATATAAAGTACCAAATTAGGTGCACAGATTATCCGATGGGAAGATGTTCAAGGATGAGACTATGTCAGTCACATCGAATTGCCCACAATAGCTTCCTATTGGTGATTACATACAAATACGATGTGATGAGAGATACGTTCGAAAAATTACCATATTAGCAGTAAACCCAAAAACCATTAAGCACTGAACCGACTTCAACATTGAGAAAAATTGAGCAGGTACCAAACAGCTGCTGCACCTGCAAATTTCTACAGCCATTCAAATATCCGCGGAATGAGTAAACTATACCTCTAATTACACACAGAGTAAAATATGCTTGTCCACCTGACACCAGCGTGTGAACCACAGAGTTATATTCTCGCATTCATCGGGTGAAACTCCATCGTTAACCGTATCATATACCAGGGCCAAGTTCAGAGCATATCGGTTAGTAATTTGGCTGCTTATAGCGGCGGGTAATAATCATGTACAAACATGGCGATTTGCCATGCAGGGAGACGAGGTATGCAGGGACGATGCGCTATCACACTCACAATGACAAGTACACATCAGAGAGACGTATATTTATACGAGGACTTCTGGCAAGACGCGCACTCACTCAATGAAGCATTTAAAGGGCTTGTCCTTACAATAACAAGACAATTGGCTAATATACATTATCATAGTCATGTCGGTTGACCAATTATCATGCGTGATTTCATTGCATCATTTTCTTTATCATGAGTCTAAACTCTAAACGAACATCGCGGTCGAATAGATTTGCTTGAGATCAATCAACTAATACGACGCATCAAAAAATCTTACTGAAGCGCTAATTTGAAAAGATGGGAGAAGTCAAGATAGTGGGTCCAATATTACAGATAAACTTGGATTAAACCAACATTGCAGTGATAAGGGAAGCGTATATCGAGCTGCCCTCGCTAAAAAGCCGAGCGCGAGAAAGTGGAAAACATCGATGCGTCGCAGCAGCAGCGATATAACGCGCAACCTTGCGTCCAGGAGACGTAACGCACGTACGGTAGCCGGCAACCTTTTCACGTTCTATATCAAGAATGAAGATAATTCCAATATTGGACGATGATAACGTTTTGTTTGCACTTGTACTTTGAAAGACGAAAGTTATGATGATATTGGACGGCGATGATGTTTCGTTTGCACCAGTATTTTGAAAGACGAAAGTTAATGATAATATTGAGCGATGATAACGTTTCGTTAGCACTTGTAGTGTGAGAGACGAAAGTTATGATGATATTGGACGATGACGACGTTTCTTTAGCATTTGTACTTGGAGAAATGGAAGGTAGGTAATGTTAATATAAGTGGTGAAGACATTTCTTGCATGGTTACCTTTAATTAGAACGACGGAAGGCAATGATAGGGTGATTACGACGGTTCTTTAGCTATAGCACTTACACGGAAGGTAATGTTAATATTGGATTACGTCATTTAGTTTCGTTTACCACGCTACTCCGATCGGCTTAGCATCTGTACATCGTAAATAATTGAATAATAAATAATTCCCACGCCTTGGTAACCAGCGACATACATTCAGAAAAAGCCTTTTGCCTAACAACTGATAGTTGAATGTAAGACAAAAACTGGGCGGAATGTGCAGTACGAGCACTTAACGGCCATTCAGCAGTGTACAATTTGCAAAGATCATCTCTTTTATACATTATTAGCTTGTAAGCAGTGTAGCTAATCTCAACGAAAAAACACTCCATAGAGAGAAGTTTTTGAAATAATTATAGTGAAGTAGAAGATGATCACACTATATTGAGCTAAAGGACACTTCTTGTCATCTTTATGCACATTATTCCTGGTTAGATAAGCAGCACATGTAGGGTGCTACATTTATGAGCCACCTGTGAGGGTATCTTATGAGCCACCTGTGAGGGTATCTTATGAGCCACCTGTGAGGGTATCTTATAAGTCACCTGTGAGGGTATCTTATGAGTCACCTGTGAGGGTATCTTATGAGTCACCTGTGAGGGTATCTTATGAGTCACCTGTGAGGGTATCTTATAAGTCACCTGCGAGGGTATCTTATGAGTCACCTGCGAGGGTATCTTATGAGTCACCTGCGAGGGTATCTTAAGGGCCACCTGTGAGGGTATCTTATGAGTCACCTGTGAGGGTATCTTATGAGTCACCTGTGAGGGTATCTTATGAGCCACCTGTGAGGGTATCTTAAGGGCCACCTGTGAGGGTATCTTATGAGTCACCTGTGAGGGTATCTTATGAGTCACCTGCGAGGGTATCTTATGAGCCACCTCTGAGTTTATGTTTGCTCAAGACAAGTCTTAATTCTGACGGATTTCATTCGTCCGGCGATTCCTCACAACGCCCTCACAATCCTCACGCCGAAATACTGGCGATGAGAAAGAAGTTCGAGGTTAAGCTGGAGCGATACGGAGGAGTTCGAGGCCGACATGAAGACCACAAAAATTCCTTTCAATCTCGCGGGCTCGGCTACCAAGTAAAGGTTACGGCAATGCGGACGTGGCGAGTGAGCAGCGAGTGCAGGAGCTTTCGTTGTTTTGAACAAAAATGTGATCAGTAGCATGAACGTCTAAGAAAACGCTTATTGCTTGATTTCCATGATTGATACATTAAAAACTTAAACGCTAAGTAATTCAGTTCAGGTAATTAAATTATTCAGCACAGTCTATAGGCTGACTGTTCATAACACACGGCGCTGTGTGGAATCAACATGACTAGCAATAAAATAAATCAAAAAATATTGTTGCCATTGTGTGGCAAAAAGAAAATATTATTCCTTTCCTGTTTGATGAAAAACTTTACATGAATTAGTTCATGAATTGGTTCCCAGCATGTACCCTAGTTGTCTTTAACATTCATGAAATTCATGAAATAGCAATTGGAAATAAGCAAAACAGTTTCCTCAAGAAAGAAACGTCGGATATGATATACGAGTTTCATATTGCGCGCGTGCATATGCTAAGACGATACGCAATACAAATGATGGGTGGTGGAGGAAAGTATCTCATTTTATTACCAAAAATGTGACACTCGATAATAATAATTTAGACCTAATTTAATAACAGTAAATAATATCGTATAATACGAGTCAACAGCCTTATCTTTGTAACACCTATACAGAAATATCAAGTTTCAAAGCCATTTGGCATCAATTTATCTCCGCTCTCAAAGAAGAACGAGAAGGCAGTTGCAAGTTAAATTTTAAAGTCTTTCGACAGTGAATCATAATTTTTAATAGCATAACAACATAGAACTATTGCCGCATCTCTATACTATACTATATCCTATAGCAGGCTTAGGTCTTCTGCAGCACATCCCAGGCACACAGCTTTGCTCGTCCATCAGAAGCGGATGAAGAGGAAAAGCAAGCCATGAAAAATATAAGTACAGGTCAGGAGTCACTACATAAGTTCAGAATGAGGCCAAATTCCAGCGCTAAAAAAATGCTCTACATCAAAATCTTCGCTCGTCAGAAGCACAAATAATTTCGAAGTTGTCTTGACATTAAATATAGGAAAAGGGCAGTCGAGCGTGTGTGTCCACGCCCCTTTCTGTGAGCTCTACACCGCGTCTGTACGAGGCACTTATTACAACTGCAAGAGGATAGGGTAGAAACTAATATCCTCCAGTATCCTAAAAGACTTTCTGTTGATTGTACTTGTTGTCTGTAAATGTTTGAACTGACGATACTGAACTGGTTGACGGAATATTTGATAAAGATATGATGAATAACCTTGGAGTTATGTTTGCATTTAAATTCTTGAGGTACAACAAACGTTAAATCAACTCCATACAAACTAGCGTGGTTTATTACTAGCGCTAAACACACACTTTCTCGTAAAGTATGACGGTTTTTTGAGGAAAATTTTGTGCGCGTAGCAAATTTTAAGGTTTAATTTAGCTTGGGAGAGGAACGTGCGACGCTTTGTTTTGCAGATTTTTTCTGATTATTTAGTCTCAACAAACAAGCTTCTCAGGCAAAAAAAGTCTGGCTTCCAAATCGCGGTGCAAACTAAACTGTTTAGCAGGTCACCTTCGAGGGGACAATGCAATTAAAACGTATTTGTGTTTTATGATGATTTACTTTCTGTATCAAAGTATTTTCAATATTTCTAAAGATTAATAGTTTCACGTTACATGTTAAGTTTTTTTGTTGGATGTTAACGCGAAATGTTACAGATGTTAAACGTAATTATGAAATTTAAAAACAATTGCCCAAAATACGTGAGAAAATAAAGATCAAAAATTAGAAGATAGACTATAATAACTGAGTTACAATAAAATATTACACAACAATAATTTGGGATATATAAAATCGAAAAAGCACTACGAATAATGTAACAGGACAAATGCCAATAATCAATAATATTAATCTTCCATCAGAATGACAAAGAGGTCGATAGAAGAGGAAAAAATTATAAACGGACACTTAAATCGAAAACCATTTACGAAGTTGGAATGCAGCTACTATAAAAGTTTAAGACATCAAATAATACGA